CTGCCCTTCTTGGCCCATTACTTTCAGCAGTTGCCCCCTGAAGTGCTTAATCACCCCCCATCCTTCACCTACTCACTTTCAAGACCGAGGCTAGGAGCCTCCTCCATTAAAGTTTAATCAAGAAGCGGTGGCTGCAAGAACGAACGCGAGAGTCCGCGACAGCGAGGAACAGTCATCGCTTTGAACGATTCTTCGGAACAGTCACCAGGAACTCCGGCAGATTAAGGATACTAAGAAGAAACGGCGGCCGGATTCCAATGGAGTTGAACTTGCAGTGCTTGAACAGTGGGTGTGAACTAAGATGGGTCTGTGTGATAGGGCAGTGCCATAGGCCCCAAAATGGTGATGATGAGGTATTGAGAGCGAATGATGTCGAGCTGAAGAACAGACGGGATGTTATTCACAGTTCAGGGGGTGGTAATGGCATTAATGAGGATGATGCAGACAATAGTGATGATGAGGACAATGGAGATGACGAGGACAATAATGGTGATGTGAATCACTGGAATCAGAAGACTGGGGAGGAAGAAAGGGAAGATGAGAACACAGGTCTGGGCCGATAAGAAGAGAAGTTACGCCAGGAGAATGGATTTCAAAGCTTCCAAGGACATGAAAGTCAGCGAGCAGGACGGTGAAGAGAACAGTGTTGAAAAAGCTCGTAACTGGCAGGGTAGGAGGCAGGTTAGGAGACGAGATTGGAGAATTCCCTGGTGCAGAGAGAGAACGCTGTGTGTGTGTGTGTGTGTGTGTGTGTGTGTGTGTGAGAGAGAGAGAGAGAGAGAGAGAGAGAGAGAGAGAGAGAGAGAGAGAGAGAGAGAGAGAGAGCATAGAGTCATCATTCAAACATTGATCACCGTTGAACCGAGAGATCATTGAACCTTCGCTGAGGGGTCCCAGACCTCCATACAAGTGTTATTGATAGAGTCAAAGGCAGTTGCCAACAGGATAGGCTTCCTCAGGTTATGTTGTTCATTATCKAGGGGCTAGTGTTCAGTTGTCAGGCTAATTGCAGAGCTTTTGTATTGATTCTCAGAATTGGTTGTTACATGTCTGGGTACAGTGGTAGTAGGACCAGATGCTAACTCATTTGAGGCGCCTTAGGGTGAAGAGGTCCCTTTTTGCTGATACCCCAGAGGCTTTCTGATCGTTGACAAGTTACCTGATGTTTTATCCATTGGAAGGGACGCTGGACCCGGTTTCCAGCAGGTGCAGCTCCCCACCAATAGAAAGGAGCCATCGGAACCATGCCGGCCTCTACCCTCTGGGGCTCTTACCACCCAAGGGGTAGAGGACTTGGCCCTGAACGATGATTATGAAAAAAAAAAAAGAAAAAAAAAAGGGCCAAAACATACTACAAAACGGTTTTCACGTCAAATAAAAATTCTACAAAAAGACAAAATCTAATAGGTTATTCTCCTGTATTTCGGCACCATCAGATCGCAATACATCAACGGCAGAGCTCCGTCCCACCATGCCGCACGTGATAGAAAGCTCAGCGTTGAGAAAACTCAACGCTGTAGGTGGGACTAGACCCCTGCCAGCGAGGCTGGGCATAGTCTTTTTTTTTCTTTTGGGAAAAAGCAAGAATTCCATTCAAGACCAAAACCAATGACTGGGCATAGTCCGTGATTTGCTGAAGCTGCTGCAGCTGTGTTTCCTCAACGGTAATCACACTGCCACTGAGATCAGAGGAATGTATCCAGCCAATATCATGGCCAAATCCGTGTTTTTCCTTTTCTCTCTTTCCTTTGTATTTCTTGAATCCGACACCCTGGCCGCGGCGCTGAGACGCCCGCACTGAGGTCACATTCACAGTACCACTCCCAAGAATGCATACAACTGCATTTCAAAGCCGAAGCTTTGTTTCTTCTTTTTGGTCCCCTTAGTTTGTCAGTTTCACGGCCACGGCTTTTCTTCTTCTTGTTTTTTTTTTTAATTTTGTTTTTGCTCTTTCCGTGAGACTATGAGAAAGGAAAATGGAACGGGACTCAGGCTCGGCAAAAGAAAAAAAAAAAAAAAAGGCTTCCCCATGTGCAAATGCCAGGAGGGGCCAAAAGTCGACGTCGACATCCCTCAGCTCTTTCGTCATTCACATAGCTCAGCACTTTGTGCAAAGGGCATACATTGACGAGAGCCGATGAAATAAAACAAAGGAAAAACTAGGGCACCGTCAAGGTTTTCAGTTTTAAATGCGTTTCAGTCACGGTTATACGAATTATGCTCCAAAGCGAGCAAAATTTGTGAATGTATCCAACCCAGCTTTAGGGTTGGGTGGGGATGTGTTGTATTTGAGGGATGCCTGAAGTGGGTTTAGAACTGAAAACGTGACTGCGCTGTCGTTAGTACTCATTACCCCTTTTCTTTTTCTTTTTCTTTTCTCTTTTGTCAGCAGAGTTCCCCAACCCATGCGTGGATGCTGCCGTTGAGTGGGTGCTGCCGCCTGCGGAGGATCTCATTGATGTCGTGTGTTGACAAGTAAGTCTTCGCTGCAACGGTGCTGGGGTGGGCTGAATGTCGCGACCGGTATGGCTTCAGTTTTGAACACCGGGGGCAAGGTCCCACTTGCGCAAATTACGAGTTTTCGGCCGTTGATCTTTGCTATCTACGGTCACCATCTCTTAATTCGTGCAAGTGGTACCTAGCCCGGGTCACCGGTATGGCTTCAGTTTTGAACACCGGGTCACCGTTGCAGTGGCAAAGGCATCAGGCCGTTATGGCCGAGGTCACCGGTTCGATTCCGTGTTTGGTTGCGGAACGATCATGGCCTACAATGATAAACTTACCAACAATGATTCGGAGACTGATAGTTTTTTTTTTGTTTTTGTTTTTGTTTTCACAAAGACCGAAAGTAATCATCCATGTACAACAAAGCTATATTCGCAGGGGTCCCCTGTATAAGCCTTAGGAGTAGTGGTAGACAGGTAGGTAGCGACGGTAAATTGAAAGACTTTTAAAGATGATGAAAGATTTGAGAGGAAAAAAAAAAAAAAAAAAACGTTGCCTAACTAACAGAAACTGCACTAAAAAAAAGTAAGGATTTAAAAAGAGCATGGTTCATCAGGTGAAATACACTCACAGCATAACTGGAGATACCACAAACGAATACCATATAACCCAATTGCCTACACGTAGAATCAGCAAGCCCTTCTGAGCTCTGCAGGGACCTCCAGCGAAAGACCATTTTTTTTTTTTTTTTTTTCCATTTAATTGACAATTTGACATCAATCAAGGAACTGATTCCTACCCTGGGGGGAATGACAACCTCAACACCAACCCTGCATTGTGCTTGCGTCCATTGCACAGCCTTCGGCGGGATTGCACATTGCCGAGCCCCCCCCCCCCCCCCCTCTTTGTGGAGGTTTTGTAAAAACCTCTGCGCACCCAGAGAGCAAAAAGGAGACCCCGTTGGCTGTCCAGGCGGGCACTGCGCTTAGGGTTCTCCCATTAGACAAGTAGAAAGAAGGTTTAGGTATTTCCAAAACTATGCTTGGGATTTATTCCGTGCAGTCGCTGGAAGAGGCAGTGAGACAAAAACGGATGCTAAAAGGAGCAGAGAGGAGACAAAGGGGGGGGGGGGCGGAAGGGATAAAGACAAAAGAGCAGTGAGACCCAAACATTTTCCAAAATGGAGCACTACAACAGATTTGTTTGCATAAATCCATGTACACCCCTGTCAACGTTATAACCAAATGATAGCTAACAGCAATAAATAGTTCACGGCAGCAGGGAAGACAGAGAAGTAATTCGTCCGCCCTGTTCAATGAGAAAAATCCCACGAAGAGAAAATACTACAAACCACAACGGCACTGCATATAAACTGTCGTGGAAGAAGATCCGGCTAGCAATGTGTGTAGCTGCTGTGTGTGTGAGTGCGAGAGAGCAATAGAGGAGAGAGAACAAATAGAGAAAAGTTGCTGCAGAGAGAGAGAGAGAGAGGGAGTGAGAGGAATGCGACATAGAGTGTGTCACATGAGAGATCAAGATTTTTGGCATCCTGGATGTGTGTGTGTGTGTGTGTGTGTGTGTG